GAGGGGGATTCCTCCAATGAGTGCTGGAGGAAAAGAGAGAGGTGAGGGGGATTCCTCCAATGAGTGCTGGAGGAAAAGAGAGAGGGGAGGGGGATTCCTCCAATGAGTGCTGGAGGAATAGAGAGAGGGGAGGGGGAATCCTCAAATGAGTGCTGGAGGAAAAGAGAGAGGGGAGGGGGATTCCTCCAATGAGTGCTGGAGGAAAAGAGAGAGGTGAGGGGGATTCCTCCAATGAGTGCTGGAGGAAAAGAGAGAGGGGAGGGGGATTCCTCCAATGAGTGCTGGAGGAATAGAGAGAGGGGAGGGGGAATCCTCAAATGAGTGCTGGAGGAAAAGAGAGAGGGGAGGGGGATTCCTGTGGAGAGGACTAAATGACAGCCACTCTCTGCACGGAGGTGACCATCAGCTGAGCGATCAGTTTGTGATTGTTCGGTTCTCGATCTATAGATCCAGCTGCAATGTCACACGCCGGCTCAGAATATTGGGAGAAGTACACTTTACTCTCCCAATACTTCTCCTTTAAAGAGAAAAAACGCGGTTAATGTAATTCAGAGATGTACCGAATATCTTTTTATATTTCACCAGAACATTCACTTTAATAAAACGTCAGATTCCCTTTCTCGCCGGCGGGTCACTTATACTTGCTGGAGTCATCCACGTGAGTCACCATCTAATCTGCCGTTCATTGATGGTAATCCGTGTGTACAGCCATACTCCTGGTAATCCCGTGTTGTTTGTAAACAGCCGTTTCACTTTCCGCACAGAACCCGAGCGGCCGGATCACCAGTCACCAAAATAAACCCCCATGGGTGACTAATTACCCCGGGGAACTAATAGCCGGCCATTACAAGATCACCCCATAGGCCGGTGCGCAGTATTCAACATATCATCTGGCCCAGGAAAGATGTTATCACCCGAGCAGTAATGTTCAGACTAGGTTAGGAAAAATGTATTGTGTAAACACACACACACACACACACACACACACACACACACACACACACACACACAC